AAATAAAATTTAAAAATTAAAAAAAGTTATTTAAGATGGTAAAGACTATGTTATGTGTATTTTACCACAATTAAATTTTTTAGTTTGCAGAGAAACAATACTTGCATAGTCTCCAAGTATCTCTCCTTAGATGTTTATTAACTACAAGAGAAGGATAGTAACTTTACTGTGGAGACCCAGCAGAGACCAACTTAACCAAATGATGAAGTTTAACATCATTAGTAAGAAGACATATCAACATCAGGAACTCTGTGATATGAAACACTGGAAAGGATACATGATTTTTGTGGTATTCTTGCCCAAAATACATAATCTCAGCCCATGCATGAGAAAATATCAGATGAACTCAAATAAAAAATATCTGACAAAACCACTGATAAGTACAATTTAAAAGTATCAAGGTTATGAAAAACAAGGAAATAGGGAGGGACTTCTATTGCAGTCCTACAAAACTACAAGAGATTAAGGAGAAATATCTAAATGTAGTGTGAGATCTTGGATAGAATTTGGAGACAGAAAAATAATATTAGTGGAAAAACAGGTGAAATTCTAATGAAGTCTTTAGTTTAGCTAATACGTTAATATTTAACTTAGTTAAATAATTCTAATTTATTTAAGCATATTATTTAATTAAATAATTTTACATTTTACTTAGCTGAATATGGTAATGTTAATTCCCTGGTTCTGACCATTATACTGTGGTTATGTAAGATGTGAACAAGTGGGGAGACTGGGTAAGGAAAATATGGAAACTCTACTATTTTTGCAAATCAATTAACATTGAGTTGGAAGAGAGAAAGCTACCCTATCATTCATAAAAACTTGGTATTCATGACATATAGGAGGCCATCAGGAATCTTAAGTTCAAATCTGAAGTGGAATTTCTCAGACATTAGCCGGAGATTCCTGAGGGGAGAGGGGGTGGGGCCAGGGGAGTCTCCCAGGCTTCTTTGCTCAGGAGCTTGCACTTCTCTCACAAAAGAGTTGGACTTTCCTGTGTATCCATAACTGCACTGCCTCTCAGAAACCACCTGGCTTCAGGAAGATTCTACCTGCAGCCTTCGTTTTAGGGTGCATCCTTGAGGGATTCAGTCAGTTCTTGCCTTCTCAAGGACTCCCTTCTCTCTTGCAGGTGCAACATCTGAGATCTGACACCTCAGGACTTCCTTGGTCACCTTCCCCTTCTTTCTTCATTTCCTCAGGTCTTAATTCTGTCCCAAGGGGTTCTCTCTCAGAGGTCTTCTCCTCCAGGCACTGGTAACCTCTGAGACTGATCCCTGCAATGCCTCCCCGACCCCTCACCGCCACACACACACACGCTTCAGTAGTTTCCCAGTCTCCTAGTTTCTCTGAAGTTTGATGTGTGTGTCTGTAATGGCTTTTGCGCTGCTGCCGCCGCTGATGGCTGCAGTTCCTGTCCAGTGAGGCTCTCCTACAGGGACAGCTCTCCTCAGCATCTGTGCAGTCCCCCTCACCCCTCCAGGTCCTGGGAAGTAACAATTCTCACTGCTGCTGGTCTCTGGGGACCTCGCCATCCCTCATCAGTTCCCTTAAGTCTGTTCACACCTTTGTGAACAGTCCCTCTCCTCAAGTACACCTTTCATGTGTCCTCTAATATTCACTAGGAACCTGACTGACACCCATGAATGTGTGGGTGTTGACACGCAGGGGAAGTCCTTCTTTGGTGACTGACACCCCAAGTCTCCAGGAATCTGGGCTTGGCTCTCTGTGGCTAGGAGGGTCAGTGTGTGCTGGAGATGTGGGCTCAATGTGTACTGTGAGCTCAAATTCAGGAGGCAGAAGTAGAAGAAGCATAGGCAAGTTGGATAATCATGAAACTCAGGACATTCATAACACCTCCAATTCAAATCACACAAGAAATTGTCATGCTTCAGATATAAGACAGCCCAAAGAATTTAAGTACTTAATTTCCCCCCTGAATTTCTAATTGCTGAGTTGGCAAATTGCTATATGAAAAATTGGTTTTCCTTGACTTGATGCAGGTAGTTGGTGGTTTGCCAAACTGAGTTTTTGAGCAGATTTCATTTGGAGAGCTGGTTGGCTCCTGCCAAGACCTGATTCTTTCTGTGCCAAGGACTGGACTTGACCTTCTGACTCAGGACAGGCTAACAGGGTGCCTATGTTCAAGGGCTGCTCCACTAGGGCCCAGCACGGGTAAGGTCTTCCAACATGTGGTGGTTTCCTCTTGGGTTATCCTCAACCCCATTAGGCAGGCAAGGTTTTTTTTTTTTTTTTTTTTTAAGGTTTTTGTTTTTACTTTTATTTTTCAATTACAGTTTACATTCAGTTTTGTTTTCTGTTAGTTGTAGGTGTACAGACAGGTAGTGTTGTTCCTTGTAGGAGTTGCCAGGAACCAAGCCCTGATTGGGAGGGTTTTGAGCTGTCCCTGATTCTTAGCTGGAAAGGAGTCCGCCCTCAGGGAGCCCCAGGCTGAGCTGAGAGGACAGGTTAGTTGTCACAGCAGCTGGAAGGCCAGGTGGGCTTAGACCTGAGCCAGAGCATCAAGGTCTGGGACTTGGGTCTAGTCCTGGGCAGATAGCCTCCCAAGGCCTGTTGCTTTCTCCCTGTTGGGCATTTGGGATTTGTGTTCGGGCCCAGCCTTGCCAGGAGATGTGGGCCATGGTGTGTTGTAACTGGAGTCAGGGTACTTACACCAGGACTGTGCATTAAAGAGGAGCAAAGTCTCATGGGCAGGGGAGTGATGTGGTGAGGGCAGCAGTAGCCTGTAGGTTGTAGTGGGGCAGGTTCTGGGCTGGCACCAGGCCAGTGTCTGCTGAGTGGCTGAGTCCTGACAAGGGCCTGTCAGGGAGCTGGTGAACTCCTGAGGAAAGGGGGCCTGTGAGGTGTATCTCAGGGTGGGGCCTGGTGAGAAAGGGTCTGTGGACTCTGGAAGTCATCTCAGTACTGGTGGGTGGCACCATTATCTAGTCAGGGCTAGGTACAAAGAGGACCCTGTGGGGGAGGGGGCACACAAACAACCTCAGAGGAAAGAAAAGGGGCTCGGATGGGTCCAGGGAATGTCCCTATGGGTCTCTCAATCCAATTCCCATCAGCCACATTCCAGAAATACCCTGACCCTTGGCAGCATTGCCTGATGCCTTGTGCAGAAAAATGTTCTGGTATTTGGCTATAATAAGAAGAGAACAAAGTCATCTAGATCTGCGGAAAGTCCAGGGTCCTCATTTTCACAGTCTCTCTGAGTCCCTAGGATCTGGCAAGACTAGGTTTACAGTTGTGAGTTCATGAAACACAGAGTTATCTTTGTGTTATTATTTATTAATTATTGTGTTATTTTCTATACAAATAACTACAAACCTATTCATTTTGCTGTACCCTGTATATTTATAAAACTTGCAAAAGTAGTAGTATTATGTTCTTTTTATTAAGAAGACCTCTCAAAATTATTTAAGACCTTACCACTCCAGCCAAATGAAAATGGCACCTGTGGTGCTGTGTCCCTGGGACCCATAGTTACTGCTGCCAACAGTGTCCACTGCCTACACTGGGGGCTGGTCACAGCTCTGGAGGCCTCCCATTGCTACTTAAGAATGTGGGAGGGCCTCAGCTCTGTAGGACCCAGGCTGTGAAGGGCTGAGGTCAGGTAAACACTGAGTAGGCCCTGCCGCACCCTCCCGGGCAGCCCTAAGGGATGAGGTGGCTTACAAGGGGCAGGCAGCCTCAGAATCCTGCCCGAGGCCTGAACTGCATGAATAGGGACTTGGAGGACCTTCCCTCCACAACTCCTGCCCAGTGAGGTCATGTCTCTCAGTCCTCTGGCTTCAAGGCAGCCTCATACCTTCATCACTCTTTGGCCTACTCAGTGGTTGGTCAGGGCTCACTGCCAAGTGGCCCCTCCCTTGCACATCAGTGATGAGGCAGAGGGAACAGAAGTTTACCAAGAGCTTGCATGCGTGATCATAATGACTATCAGTGACATTACCAGGAAGGTGTAGCTATCCCCATCTTACAGATGAGGAAACTGAGGCTCAACTTAGGCCGCTGACTAAGAGAAATATCATGTGGTACGGGATTGAGGCATCTTTTTCTGTCCTGAGTAACTAGGGAGGCAGCCTGGCCGCATAAGCATGTGCTTTGTCAGGGGCTGGTAGAATGGCTTTCTAGCAAGAGTTCAAAGGTCAGAAGCACCTCTCCAGATGAAGGTGGCATCCTCTATTTATTCCTAGGATGCCCAGAGTTGCAGGGGGAAGGGGACACAGTTGACTTCACAGTGTCTTTCCAAGAGACCAGGCCCTAAGGTGCAGGGAGGGCCGGGTTCCCTCATGTGCTGGCTGCCCCACTGCTGGGCCACTCAAGTTCTCCCTTGTGTGAGAAGCAGCCAACTGTGACCCGGGAATGATTAGGATCTGTCTTCCTCTGCTTTGGACAAGGAATCACTTTGAGCCCCCTACCTGTCCAATGGAGGCTACAAGGCCACTCTAAAGAGCTGAGGTTCTTAGGATTGGGGGAAGGCAGTGGCCTCCATTCCACTTGTGCTGTTGGCCTGAGGGGTCACCTAGGTTCACAAGCCCACAGAGTTCCCAAACCTCTGAATGGGCCACCATGGGGACCTTGGACAGCAGGCTAGAAGTCCTAGGCCTTGTCTTGCTATACAACTGAGCCCAGGCTGTGGAGAACCAGAAGCCCAGAGGGCTGGCAGGGCTGCCATCACCACTGTCTCTTATTCTGTGGGGCACTCAGGCCTTGTGCCTGGGGGGAGCTGCATGCCCCAGAATTGACCTTTTTGTCTAGCTTTGGTCCTGCTCTGCCTCTCTGCTCCTCACAGGGTCCCAGAATGTAGGGTATGGGGGTCTCATGCTTCCAGAGGGGCAATACCACAATCAGAGTGCTAGTGTGGCCCCACCCAGGCTTTTCTTCCTGCCAACGCCTGTGCTGACTCACCAGCTGACCTCCTAGTCTTCCAGGGAAAGGGCTGGTGCCCCAGAGCTCAGCCAACCATCAGAGGCATCTATAAAAGCACACTGGTCCAGGCCCCAGCATCCTGCTTAGTTGTTACCTGTCGTTGCACAATGCTGGGAGGTTTCGGGAAACTCGCTGCTGATGGCCTGGCCTACCGCACTGAGAAGGCCACTGAGGAAGCTGGTAAGGACCCCAGACTCCTTTCCGCCTGGGCCATTCTCCTCAGGCTGGGGGATTGGGGACTAATTTGACCAGGCCCATTGGAAGCTGATCCCTGAACTTTTGGGGCAGGTCTTGGCCCTATGAGGAGTTCTGGGCAATCAGTCCCACAAAGAAATAGAGAGGCAGGAGCAAAAGCTGAGGAAGGCAGCTTGGGGTGGAGCCAGGAGGGGTCAACTGGCCCAAGCAACCCTCTTTCCATGTGGCTGAGGGCAGGAGGGAGGCCATCTCAGAGGGGGCTCCAAGGGTGGGGCTGGAAGGTAGAGGGGAGCTGGGTGCTGAGTAGCAGCCAGTGGCTTGAATCTTCTCTCTGAGACCTGGGAGCTCTGCCATAGCCAAATAGCCTATTTTGAATATCCTATACAGGAAAAAAAAGGTGGGTTATTATTTTTGCCATAACTTTAAAGCTCCAAAGATTTCTCTATTAAGAAATCACCAAGTCTGATTCTGTTCAAGGTCAGCCCCTGGGATTTATGTAAAGGACATTTTCTCTGTCTTCAAGTCCCCCAGAAGCCCTTTCTCTGTATGCAGGCATCTGCAGCTATATTTAGGGAGGATAATCCAGGTTCCACCTGGACTGTTTGATATTTAAGCTTGCCGTTCTCGATATAAATGGTTGCAAACATGTCTGTATTTCACTGGTTAACTCTGTAGCTGGTATTGACCACTCCCTGTTCTCCTTCACTAGCTCTCTGCATTCTGTATTATTCTCATTCACAGATCAGGCAACCAAGCAGTGGAGGGGGACTTAGAATCAGAATCAGTTCTCCTGACTCCTAATTTTCCAATTCTAGCAGGATACCACCTAAACTTTAAACAACTCCAAGATGGGCAGAGTCCCCTCCTATTGGAGGAATGGATTTGAGGAACCAGTTTTGCTGGAGAAGTCTTCTAGATATGGCATCCAGCTGCAGCCTCCATCTGACTGAAGGCAGGACAGCAGCACACTTTAGAGGTGTGGTAACCTGGCAGACAGGCTCAGCATTGGCACTAGGTTCCTAGCTGGCAGGAGGACTTGCTTGTTAGCATTCCAGCCTGCATGAGACCAAGGGGCATGGAGGACCTTGTGTCCTTGTCTGCTTCACTCAACTTTCCTCCCAGCAGCCTGCACCCCTCACCCTGGTCTCCTTCTCTTGAGCCAGCTTATCCGCACTGGGCCAATATCCTAGAGCTGCATTCAGGGTATCCAGAGCTGTCCGGGCTTGCCATAAGGAGAAGCTGGCTTGCACTGTGCTCTCACTCTGGGCTTGTCTCATCTTTTCAGTTCATGCCGTGGAGGGAGTGGTGAAGGAGGTGGTGGAACATGCCAAGGAGGCTGGAGAGAAAGGTATGGGGGTAGGGAGGGACAGGGAAGAAGGGAAGGAAGGAAGCTAGGTGCTGAGAACAACCTGTTTTTTGACTAACCAGGTCAAACCCTGCCCCAGATGTTGCACCCTTTCACATGGTATGCAATTATCTACACTACCTGAGGCCACAGACCAAACTTTGCTAAAGCAGGATCCAATTAGATAGTCCTTTTTGGGGAATGCTAAGACTATGTTAAAAAAACTATGCAGCAGCACACTGGGACAAAACATTTAAGACATAAAATTTTATATACATACATATTTGTGGAAATGTTTGTATGTATATGTGTTGTGTGTATAACTATGTAAAAAGTACAACATATGTGTAACTCATTCTTACGACAAAATAGATTCCAGGTGAATCAAAGGCTTAATACAAATACATGAAATTATGAAATTGTTAGAAGAAAGCAAAGGAGATTTTAGCATAATCTCAGAGATGGGAGGATCTTTTTTTTTAAAACAATGACAGAAAAACCAACAACCTTAAAGGAAATATTAGGTAAGTTTGACAATATAATACTTCAGATTTTCTATAGCAAAAATAATTACCAGCTAAGTCAAAATAAAACCACAAACTGAGGAAAAAAATTGAAGTGGAAATGATAATCCCATATAAAAATGATCAAAGGATATAAATAGGCAGTTCACAGAAAAATGCAGTATGAGTAGGCAATACGGCCATGAACAGATACTCAGCCTCACTCATAGTTGAAGAAATAGATACAAGTTGCTTGGGGAAATAAAACAAAATTTGAACACATTCCTCCAGATCTCTGCTGCCCTCCAACCTGTCGGGGCTCCTCTCAGGCCTGAACCAGGAAGACTGCTACACCCCTCAGGTCACTCCAGGTGACACTAGTCTAGCAAGTGGCTTGAAATGTTTACTTGGCTCACCCAGACATTATTCCTCTTTCTCACTGACAGCCATTTCCGAAGCCTTCAAGAAGGCCCAGGAGAAAGGAGACAAAGTGGCAAAGGAAGTCACTGAGACAGTGACCAACACAGTCACAAATGCTGTCACTCACGCAGCGGAAGGCCTGGGTAAACTGGGACATTGACACATCCGCCACTGGCAGACTCTTTCTGAATCTCAATAAAGAGCTGTGAAATGCATACACTGAGCCCTGGATTTATTCCTCCTTGGATGGAAGCACTGTGTATGTCCTGTCACCTGTTGTCACACGTTGACACCTGCTGGGGGTCAGAGAGTGGTGATTTCTCATCTCAGTAAGGAACTCTTTAAGTATTGTTAGTGTATGTGCTACATTTTTTAAAAGATTATTTTCCCAGAAACCGTATGTAGCTTTCAGACAGTTCAGTGCTTCAGGTCACTCCAAGGGAGGACCATAATTCACCTTATATGTTCTTTGGGTTTTCCTTGAAATGTTCTTATAGGATTCAGGAAGATGACAGACCAACCTGATTGAGAGGTTAGCTGGACAGGTCAGACAGCTGGGCGTGCTTCACATTCTAAAATAGGCTTCAAAGAAGCATTTCTGCTGGTCACTCACAAAATCAGGTCAAGGAGGAACTGAGTCCACAGCTCATTGGCTGTCGAAGCCACTGCCCAATCTCCCCTCTGATGCTTGTGTTAGGCTTAATTGGTGGTGATGGGCAAGAATACTCAGCCTTTTCTCCTTCCTGCTGCAAGTGAGTCAATATCATAAAGGTTAAACATATATTTAAGCAGCAGTTAGCTTAACATTTGGATTTTTAAAAAGGAAATGATTTGTAAAGATATAGCATTGCTTATTTATCTTGCTGAAAGTAATTTATTCTTAGCAGAAATTAGAAGAAAAGGTGTTTTAAAGAACGAGTTAATTGCTTACCATATTTCTGGCTTTCTTTTAGAATTGGCTTCACAAGTTTCTGAAGCCCAAGAATCTAATGTTCTGGCTTGGAACATCTGCCACTTGTTTGGCTAGATCTGCACCTTGTAGCTGGGTTTGTTTTCTGACGACTTGTGAATTCCCTAAATCTGAACCTGTTCTCAAAAGGATGAGAGCATTGCTGGTGGCAGTGAAAACTGGAACACCCTCTTTGGATGGCAATTTCTCTTACCAGGCTTTACCCTTGAGGTGTGCACAGGTACATGCAGATGCTTCAACAGCGAATGCACAGATTAACCATAGGCAAAAACACGGATTAACTGCAGCATGTCTATAACAGCAAGAGATGGGAAACACCCTAAAATGCTAATCATAAATCACTTGGAGGACAAATTTTGCTCTGCTTATTAAGTTTGAGATACAATATAGAGGTGACGCATACTACTTCTAATCTGTTATAATGCCTTAGCTTGAAACTGGGACCTGCGTTTACATGGCTGCCAATAGGGATTGCATATATCTGAAATGAATACTCCATGGCTGTTAAGAATGAGGAAATGTACCTATATCATATAGGAACATGTCAAGTAATAAGATATAAAATATGTATGTAGAATAAGTTTTTTTACAAAGCAAACACATAATTACATAAAAATTTTAAAAAGATAGTGTATATATATATGCATATATGTATATATCAAACATATTAATAGTGCTCATCATCTCTGTGTGTGATAATATGAAGAATCTTCAATTTCTACATTACATATTTCTATATGCTTGAATTTAAGAGAAAAACAATACAGATATATTTTTAAATGTGGTCATGGAGGGCACCTACTAGTTTATTCAGGGTTTTTTCCTACATAAGTGCTGCTCCTCAAAGTTCGCTGGTTTGCAAATTTCGTTACCATTAATAAGGTAATTAAAGAAACAGCATTTAGATACTCTTAGACATTGCCTGGACTTCAAGAGGTGTGGTCAGTTGGTGAATTCTTCTTGAACAGGGCATAGACCAGCTCAAGTTGATGAATTTGCATGGCAAGTTGTACATGAACTAGTCATACAAGGCAGGACCATATACCACAATGAATAGATTAAGAAATGAACCAACCCCCCCAAAATTGGTTTTGCCAAAAAGTTGGAGAAACACAGCCCATGTGCCCTTAACTTAAACCTTGCAATGTGCTGCTACAAAAAAGTACTTCTGTCTCTCATTTTTCTTTAACTGTGCATGTTGTGTGATGAGGGGCATAATGTCGCCTTTAGACAAACTTTGAACATGTTATGAAAAGCAAGAGAAAGTGAGGTCAGGGGAAATGGTGGAGAGAGGACCTCCAAAATTTCTCTCTCCCATAGAAGTAACGAGAAAACTGGTAAAAATCATCAAAATGAGCTTTTTTCAGAACTCTGGAAATGAACCAAAGCCTTATGGCAATCAATGGATCATTTATGTAAAACATACTAAAAATAAAATCTTAAGAACAGCAAGGTTTTGTGATGTTTTTAACTTGTTGCACTCTGTTCTCATCTCTACCTGAACCCCCTTCTCCAGCTCCACCGTAGCCTTGAAAACCCACAGCCTGCTGTTACTGGAAACAGCAGAACTCTCGAGTTCCTTCAAAGCCTTGCTCTCAGAGAACTGCCATTATCTGACTTGACTGGTGGTTCCTAGGAAAACACCCCACTGCAAGGCTGCCTTTATTTTTCCTGACTAGGAGCTAAACTAACGCTGAAAACACTTTCCCTAGCGCTGTCTATCATAAAACATATAGAGGCATTTTTTAAGTTGGTGGTTACTTGAGGTGCTGGCTAAGAGTTTGCACAAACAACAGGCTAACCAAAAAGCTTTAAAAAATGGGGAATAAAATGTCCACAGAGTCTTTGAAAATTTCAACATATTTCTGGGAACCTAGAAGGCCATGTCCATGTGTAAGACTGACTGCGCAGGTGCTCAGTAAAGACCTGAGAAGACCCAAAACACTCACTTCCGAATAGTCTTGAGGGTCTGTGTAAGCAGAGAGTGAAAACACAGGAAAAAATGTTAACTGCCTGGCTGAGTGTTGAAAGTGAGGCTCAACAAGTGCACAGAATCCCTATGCAAATGTGTGGACTTATTGGTTTTAGGTACTTAAAGAAGTCTCTGTCCAATCATTAGCTGACCAGTAAGCAAACTAAGTTGAAGTTCAATGGCCATACACAACAAAATATACTATAGAATTAGCACAGAAAGGTCACTAAATTCACAGCAACAACAACAAATTTGGGGGGAGGGGTGTGGAATCTGATTTCCAGAGTTGCCATATTATGTTATTTTCCATGTCCTGTTTTCAGGAAAAAAGGAAATTAAACCCATTTAAAATGGGGAAATGAAATTATGTACAAAAGGGACCAGAAATTGGCCAACTAGACAAAAACTTTAAATCAACTACAGGATGGGGTAAAAATAGGTTAACAGTTGTTTTCATGATAAATAATACAATAATTAATAAATAGTAATATAAGAATAAACTGTTTTACATAGTCACAACTGTAAATTTACTTTTGCCCCACTCTGTATTTTAAACATAAACAGAGTTAAAGGAAAGCACATCTAAAGAATTAAAATACAAGATTGATACCAAATAGAGAATACAAATACGTTGTAATAAAAAACAAAATAGACTTCCGCAAAGATGGAGGCATAGGTGGATGTGCCATGCCTTCTCACACAACCAAGTTTAGAGACAACTAAATATTAGCAACAGAAAAGAGCCAGAACACGGAAAATTGAACTTTTCGGAAGTCCGTTAACAACAAATTCTTCAGCCTGACCGTGTCATAATGCAGCGACTCTGAGTGGCCCGGCCCAGGTGAACCACCTAAGGCGTTGATCCTCACCCAGCTGTGAGAAACAGCAGAGGGGGGTCGCCATTTCCCCACTCTGACCACGCCCCCACATACAGCGTCACAACCCAGCGACCTGGGAGTCCAAGGCGCCGCTTCTCACACTTAAAGGGCTAAACAGACCAAAAATGGCTCAAGAAGATCTCAAAGCCCCAGAGCCTATAAATCTAAGCGATGAAGAAATAGCAAAACTCTCAAACGCACAGTTTAAAACACTGGTGATCAGGATCCTCACAGAACTGGTTGATTATACCGACAAATTAGACAAATATATGAAGGCGAAACTAATTGAAATGAATGGAATTGCACAGGACACCAATAGCAATGAAAAGGAAACTGGGACTCAAATCAATGGAGTGGACCAGAAGAAAGCAAATAATGGCCAAACAGAAAAGAATCAAGAAGCAAGAATTCAAAGAAATGAGGAGAGTCTTCGGAATCTCCAGGATATCTTTAAACGTTCCAACATCCAAATTATAGGGGTACCAGAAGGGGGAAAGGCACAGCCACCAGTGGAAAACTTATTTGAACAAATAATGAAGGAGAATTTCCCCAATCTGGCAAAGGAAATAGACTTCCGGGAAATCCAGGAAGCTCAGAGAGTCCCAAAGAAGTTGGACCCAAGAAGGAACACACCAAGGCACATCATAATTATATTAGCCAAAACTAAAATGAAGGAGAGAATCCTAGAAGCAGCAAGAGCTAAGGGGACAGTCACCTACAAAGGAGTCCCCATCAGACTGTCAGCGGATTTCTCAAAAGAGACCTTACAGGCAAGAAGGGGCTGGAAAGAAGTATTCCAAGTCATGAAAACCAAAGACCTACAATCGAGATTGCTCTATCCAGCAAAACTTTCATTTAGAATGGAAGGACAGATAAGGTGCTTCTCAGATAAGATCAAATTCAAGGAGTTCATCATTACCAAGCCCTTATTATATGAAATGTTAAAGGGACTTATCTAAGAAAAAAGAAGTTAAAGAAACATGAACAGTGAAAGGACAACAAACTCACAGTTATTAACAACCACACCTAAAACGAAAGCAAACTAAAAGGACAGCTAGATCAGGAGTGGAAACATAGAAATGAAGATCTCAAGGAGGGTTAGCAACAGGGGAGTGGGAGGAGGAGAAGGGGAGAGAAGGTACAGAAAATAAGTAGCATAGATGGTAGATAGAAAATAGATGGGGGGGGGCAAGAATAGCATGGGAAATATAGAATCTAAAGGACTTGAGACACATGGTCATAAACTAAAGGGGGGGGTAATGGTGGGGATGGGGGGTAGGGTGAAGGGGAATGAAAGGGGGAATAGAACAACTGTAACAGCATAATCAATAAAAAATTTA